CCTGTTTTAGTATACATAACTCCAAAGGAATTTCGGGTTAATTTTTTAAAAGTAAGTGCGGTTTTAGGCTAATATTTATAATATTCAAAACCTTATTCACATCAAAAGAAGATTTATTGTACATCTCGTGATTGAAAAATATCCATATTGTTTATCATTTTATCTTTTTCATTGTTATTAACTTATTAACTTAGACTGAATATATTCCAAAACAAGTTGCACCGTGACAGAAATACATGCATGTAGACAAAATATCACCTCGCTCTGTGATTCGGTCGCGCTATGACCTCTGCCCCACAAATAAAATTCACACAGAATTGAACATATTTTCTCTTCAGTTGGTTCATCTAAGAAAGATATTTGCAAATGTAAATGTGACTATTTGAACAAGGCGTATTTACATCTTTGTAAAACACGTTCGTCGTTTGACCATAAATTGATTGTTTAGTCATAAGCGATCTATGTAATTTCATAGTGACGTCATAAGCGATCGACGTTTACTATTAACACATTTAAGGAATAACTATGTTCTAATTTGGTATTATTTGGACTCTTCTCATTGAATTTTAAATGAAAATTGTCACAAGATTCTTTGAAAAATTGTAAAAGATTAAGAGTTGTATTAATAATTGTTTATAATTTAATTTTGACTAATGATATTAGTAAAACTCGTAATTTTATCGCCTTTGAAACCCCCCCCCCCTTTTTTTTCAACGTAAAACAACGTCGTTTGTTAAGAAAAAAATAAATCTTGGAGAGAAAATTATTTCATAATGTAAGAATTATTTAATTTTTAGAAACTTAATTATACAGTATTGCAATCGTTTGTTGATGTTATGTAAACCCATTGCGACTTATAAAAATATCTAGCTGGATAAAATGTCCTATTTTGTGTTTTGATATGTTCCCTTTTCAGTGGAATAAAGGCTACCTCCAAATTTCTTTTCATTTTTTAAAAGAGGAATTAAAATCGCATGATATATATGTGAAAAACCAAATTTTATCATTAATTTTTTTTTAATTTATCAATTACTTTGTTTATTGGTGAGTTTTAGTATGCAGATGTGTATAGAAACACGAAAAATGGTCCATATCTTGAAAGTGCCCCCATTTAACTACAATAAAGGCAAAGTATCAAAATTTCATTCTAATTTTTCTTAGCATAATACATACAAATATACTTCCAAGAATTAAAATTTGTCATCATTCCGTTTTCGTAATTTCCAACTAGACTGGGCCTCGTTAATCATACTTCTTATCAGAAAACATTATTTATTTTAATTTATTACATCTTAAAGTATATTTTTTTTAATTAAGATTTTACTTTTTACTCCGCAAAATAGTCCCCTGAAAACTTTGAAAATAAGTCGTTTTGAGGGATTATAGATTTAAAATGAATGATGAATTATCATCTTCATCGATAATTACAAAATTAAATACTATTTAAACTTCATATTTCCACCGTTTAAAATTTGTACAAGAATCTTGAACAACGAGCGTTGACAGAGGTGTATGTGGGAGCGTAGCGGGAATGACAACTCTGGATAGAGATTGGTAAACAATGTCAGGTGCCAAGCTTTATGTAAATTTAGATGTATGAATCACAGATTTCCTATTGAAAAAGGTCGATTTTGGGGAGTTGATAGAGATGATCGTATTTGTGATCTTTGTTCCACTAACAAGTTAGGAGATGAATTCCACTACCTTTTAGAATGTTCTTTTTTCAAGAGTGAACGAAAAAAACTTGTTCCAAATATTTTTTATGCTAACCCTAATGTTATCAAATTTCATGACTTATTAAATTGTAAGGATACTAAAGTTATTTTTGGGCTCGCCAAATTTTGTAAAATTTTATTGTCAGTAATATGTTAATAATAATACCAAAACTACTATTTAACAAATGTTATAAATACATATAGTTTTATTTTGTATAAGCAGGGGCCTTCTATACTTTATTATTTGAACTATACATGTGAATTGTACATGTAAATAACATTAGTACCACTCATTCTTTCATGCATTCTTGTTTATATGTAAAAAAAAAAATCTTGTATTATTTGTATTCATATACCCCGGTTGGGGTCTTTGTCTTAAATAAAAACTTGAAACTTGAAGCCCCAGAAATCACATGCACTTGACGTTACTTATCTTTCTTTATAACAAAGAAAAATATACACATACCTAATAATAAACAAGGTTTATTGTAAGGTATGTGTATATTTTTTTTATTAAAAGAAAAATAAGTAACGTCAAGTGCCTGTGCTCTGAGTCAACCTTTTTAAACAATGATTTCAGCATTGAAAGGTCGACATTAGCCCTTAATTATTTTATATGATTTTTTTTTCTTTTTGTTTTTGTTTTTTTTTTCTTTGTTTTGTTTTTTGTTTTTTTTTTTTTTGTTTTTTTTTTTTTTGTTTTTTTTTCAAAGAAAATTCAAAAAATTATTTACATCCTATGGAATGCCATATACGACAGCCAACTGCTTAATGCCAACTGCTGACTGCTTACTGCCAACTGTCAGCTGCTTAATGCCAACTGCCACACATATTTGAATAAATTTTATATTTGTATTGATATTTATATTCACAAAAAAAGGAAAAAAAAAAAAAGGCACGGATCCGGGACATTTTTTCCAAGGGGGTCATCCTGGTAAAAGTGAATTGAATAAAATGACCAATATGTTTTATCTTATGTAATATTCAATATATGCTGTTGATAAAGTACATTGTTTATTTTTTTAATTTGTTTTCCTATTTTAAATAAGTAATAAAATGACTATTTTCTACTTTTAATCTTTAAGAAGCCTCCCCCTCCCCCAGGGACACCAAAACCTTTGAAGAGAGAATAATAATAAAAAAGATTTGTCGTTTCGCAGAGAAAGACGTTTTGAAAATAAATTTCCGTTTTCCATTATATTCTATAGTTAAAAATTTCCTCAAATTAAAGATGTATATCTCTGTGTGTTATAGTGTTTCACATGCATAGATCCGGGGGGGGGGGGCATTTAAAATTTGTACAGTCATACGTTAAATAAACTAAACGAACTACCGGTATAACTGACCTTGGACCCTTCACTTGGAAAACGCCGATCAAACATTTATATCTCTTTGTTTGTACAAATAAAATATGTTTTACATGCATAGATCTAGAGAGAGGGGTCCGGAACACCCCTTTGAAATTTTAAGTTATTTAATGCACAAACTAAACCAACTAAAAGTTATTTAATGTATAAAATAAATCAACTAAAAGGGACCTTAGACCCCCCCTGCCCTCCCCAACCAAAGATGTGGATTCGTGTTAAGTTGGTATGAAAAATGTCATACACATGAAGGTATGACGCATAAGAACCCCCTCTATGGTCAAGGTTAAAGTCCCGGCCGAAATAAATTTTCACATTTAGGAAAGGACTTTATGTATTTTTTTCTTGTCAAGAAATTTCTGGGTTGGAATTTTTTTTTTACCAGTGTGACCCTCTTGGAAAAAAATGACCCTATAGATCCACGCCTTTTTTTTAATTTACATAAATATCAATATAAAAATAAAAATTTATTCAAATATGTTTGGCAGTTGGCAGTAAGCAGTTGACAGTTGGCAGTAAGCAGTCAGCAGTTGGCAGTAAGCAGTTGGCTGTCGTATATGGCATTCCATAACATCCAAATTAGATGCTTTCTTGTAAAAATTTTGCTGCAAATGAATGTATCACATAAATACCTGATAAAATATGTAGAGAAAAGCCGTATAGATATTAAAATATGTAAAGAAAAAATATTTATGAAAATAAAACACATAATTTGTGAATATTTCTTAAACTTGTGGTTAAAATCTTCTTAAAAAGAGCCACAACTGGGGAGAACATGTTCATTAACCATATTTATAAAAGAAATTGAAACGAAATAGCCAAATTTTAGAGAAATTATTTTTTTTAAATTTTGGCCAATCCCGATCAAAATTAAACCGATCCCAACCATAATTGCACGATTGTTGGAAATAAATAACATTTCCCCAAGAACACTAGTCTGATTAGGTACAAGGATTAAAACATTACTGAACCTGAAAATAAAATAGATTTCTTCATCGTAAATATATGAAGAGGCAATGAATTATTCATTTTGTGTTAATTTTGATCGGGATCAGTTTAATTTTGATCGGGTTATGTCCAAATATTTAAAAAAATTATTTTTCTCTAAGATATCTCAATTTCGTTTCAATTTCTTTAAAAATATGATTGACAAACATGTTGTTCTTAGTTGTGACTAGTTTATGGTGTTTTTAACCATAGGTTTAAAAAATATTCACAAATAATGTGTTTTATTTTCATAAATAATTTTCTATAAAAAAAAATACCTTTATTTACATATTTTATAAGATATTCATATGATGCATTCATTTACAGCAAACTTTTAAGTCGAAAACGACTTATTTGGATATAAATAATTTTTTTCATTTTCTTTGAAAAAATACAAAAAAATTAATATAAAATAATTAAGAGCTAATATCGGCCTTTCAATGCTGAAACAACATTGTTTAAAAAAGGATGAGTCAAGGATCTATAAAATAAAAAGTTGGTGTGACACTCCACCTTAAGTTGTCTAGTAAATAATCATTTTAAAAAGTGACAATCACATAGTGCATTTCATGTATAAATTTTTTTATTTAAATTGTGAACAACATATAAACATTAAACCATGTAAACTAAATTTACTGTACTCGGCCCATTGGACCTGTAAGTCACTTTTTCATTAAAAGATATAAAATTTTACACATTTTTTACGCAGATTTTTTTCTTTGGTTAAATGCTGTTTGTGTAAATTCTGTTTATCTAGTAATCTTAACACTTTGAACAATATTATTATTATTATATATTAACAATATAAATATATTTATATAAATATATATATATTGACCATTAAAATTACTACCAAGTGTTGTAAGAGAAGGGAATCCCTTTCGTTACCTTATGTCTTGCGCCGAAAATAGAAATCGTGACGTCACAATAACTGTAAAAACCAAGATGGCCCACGAAGCTGTAGGTTGTGCACGGGTTAAGATTTGCTGATTTTTGGGATGCTTTTTACCTTTTACTAAAGCCTGTGACATTTTAAAAAGATTACAAACACGATAATTTGTCCTTTTAATGAATCACTGATTGAAATTTCAGGTGTTTTTAAATTCAAAGATGCGAAGAAAACACTCGACAGAGCGAGATCGAGATCGCTTTCTCAGTGTCTGGTTATTTTCTGTACGGAATGCCTGAGCCAGTGAGATAAGCATTCTCCTATCTGTGATTACAATGCGTACGTAAAATTAAAGGATTCTTACAAGAGATTTGTTTCGAATGTGTCAAAATGGATTAGGCCCATGTGTAAAAAGAAAAATCCCTAATACATTTGTGTTATGTGTATACATTTGTGTTATGTGTAATCTACGCAAGTGCATAATTTTGTGAAAATTTGTGAATGAAGCATAATGGAACTCATCTGTTTTGTACATGGAACTCCTAGTCTATGATATGAGGATGTGCTTCTCTGTGGAATGAAATTTGGTGCAGAAGGATGGGACATGGTGTTGAACGCCCATTCTGGTGGATTTATCACCACACAAGATTCCTCCTGCTCTGTCTCCTTGTATCAGCCCTGCTCGCCGAGGCATGCCCCCCTTTGTGTACGTGTACCACCAGAAAACCTCGGGAGGGGTCCAAAGGGAGCAAACTCAGCTCCATGGACTCTAAAGGCCAAGGCAAGAGTGGGAGCCCTCAGCTGGGATCTCGGGGAAGGAAGGTGGTGTGTGCTGGAAGTCTGTCTGTGATTACTTCTGTAGCAATGATCAGCAGCTTACCACTTGACACTGTCATTCTGTAAGTTTGGGTGATAAAACACAAATAACAAGTTACTACCAGGGGCTTAATTTTTTTCCTAGGGTAAGAGATACACTTAAATAGAACTTAAAGAGTACAAGAGTTAGTTGAGTTCAGTAAATGAACAAGGTTTTTAAATGTCAGATCTTGTCAATATTTGGCCCCACAAATGAAATGTTTAAACTGAATTTTACTGCTATAATGCCAACCTGTAATGGCTGTAAGAGGGAGAAACACAGGTAAACTACACAAATATAAATCAAAGAAACACCATGCAGCATGTGTTGGTAACCAGTGAAGGACTTTTGAGATGTTCCCTTGGATTGATTAATGATATTACGCACCACCCAAGAAGACACTGGCTTGGGACATTTATTGTTTCTCAGTTTAAATGAAGACCACAAAGTCACACAGCCTTATCAATATCACTTGATCTGAGATGACAATTACAGTTTGTCTTGTATTCCACATTATACATACAGGGCTGCTATAGTGTAATGATTCATACACCTAACATAATCCTATACAACTGTAATATGTGAGATCCAAGATGCCTTTTCAGGAGTAAAGGAATATTATTAAAAGGGAGTTCTTAAAAATGACAGTTTATGGAGGCATTCTGTCTCAAGGGCAACAAAGGGGGGAGGGAAATGGTTTTTACCTTGCACTCAATATTGTTCTGACACCTCTAATATATATTAAGTGATGGATCTGTAACTGATAATGGGGAGCCAAGTTTTTCATAGAATACATAATATTAACAATATAGTCAGGATCAGTCATATTTATATATATATATATATTAGCATCTACTTGGGGGGGGGTCAATTTTTTTTTGGACATAGGAATGCATGCAAACAATCTTTTGCCCAGGAACAGCAAATCAAGATTATATTAATAATAGAATATTCATTAATAACAAAATCCTCAAAAAGTGTCAATTAATTCAAGTTTGTTCAAATCATAACCTCGAGGAATAGACTGGAACTACAATGGGTGATTAAGTTTTTACATGGGAGTCGATAAAGGAAAAAGAATTGCTGATGAAAAAGAGGGCCATAGTTTTTCAGGTTAGCATTGGGGCTCCAGGGGCCTATTGTTACGACTTGCATCATATTAAATAAATGTTTTATAAGCCTTTGTACATGTTTCTATGATTTGTAATTAAATAACACATATATTAAGAACCCATAGCACTATACAGTGTGTCCATGCATAGATATATAACTTTTCACATTTTTGAGTAAAAAAAAAATGTTTGTTAAACAAATTTTAACATACACACACATAAATACAAGCATCTTCATGCACTGTAGAATTTGAGATTTGTGAGATCATAAACCTCTGAGGAGGTGGGCTAAATTTTAGGAATATTCATAAATGAACCAAAAATATTTATTATGAATTGAAGAATTTTAAAAAAAAAGTCACTTCTGAAGAAAAGTAGGACCATGAATTGATAATACTTTTTATCATCTATACATTAAAGTATAAAAACTATAATAAGATTTAGTTCAAACTTTGTCCAGTCAACTTGTCTGCCATCCATGTGCTGGTAAACTTCTTACATGTTTGACTTTTTCTTGAGAATCACTGGGCTAATTACCCAAAGTTGGAAAAAGCATTATTGGGTGAAGGAAACAGAATTTTATTTTTGTAAAATAAAGGCCAACCAGGCCTCTTTCAAGGGGAGATAATCAAGGAAAGGCAAAATATGGATGGGGTCTTTAAAAATATCTTCTTTTTAAAAACTGCTACAGAGAAAAAGAAACACATTTGGAATTTTCCTGAAATAGTGTAGATTCTGAGTGATTAAATCTGAAATTCCATGAAAATGCAAATTACATTTACATTGCACCTCTGCAATAAAAGGGTAAGTGGGTCTGAGAATTTATGATTTCCATCTACCCAACAGTGTGAACACTCTTGCAAATTGAAAGAGAGCTAATATGAAACTTAACTTTTAAAGGAAAATGTTTTGAGATTGATGCAATCAAAAAGACACATTTTGATTGGCAGGAAAATTTAGGATGGGTCAGGTTTAACATACCAGTGCTTTTTTTTCCTTGACCTTTTATTGAGCCTTGCTTTGAAAAAAAATCTAAAGGCTTGATGGATATTATCAGATTATCAATTTTACTGGCCTTGGTCCTGTTGGGTTTTGGTAAATTAAAACTAGAAGTCAGGAAACTTAAATTAATTGTGACACTTCAGTTTCATGTTAGTCTCCTGAGGTTTGGGATTTAATTGGATTTAAATGAAAAATGTATTGTATCTCAGAAATTTTTTTCACTATAGACAAATGTTTGCAAGCCTCGTGACTCGTGTGGCTGACTACTTGTTCCATTCCATTGTGAAGTTTTATTTCTGGACTTTCCTCCAGGGCTGGGCTGAAATTATATATAAATATGATAAAGCATGAAATCTACCAGTAGGCTATTGATATTTTTAGCCCATGAGGATCAATTGGTAAATCCCTGATGATGAATCATATAGTCAAAATTTTGGCCAATCATAATTGAATATCATTAATTCATTACTGACACTTAAAAACAGATTATAAACACTATGGAATAGAACAAGATGTCTTTGTGAAACACTGATGCCCCATATGGCAGCTTATGGCAAGGGTTGAATTCTTTCAGATGCATGTCAAACTTCAAAGGTCAAGGTCAAAAGTGTTGGTACCCAAAGGAAGATCCTGTTACAAGAAATACACCTCTGAAATATGAAAGCCCTATTTCTAACTGTTCAAAAGTTATGACCAAGGTTAAAGTTTTTAAAAAGTGAGTCAAACTCTTAGGTCAAGGTCAAAAGGTCAAAAATATTTATACCAGCTGAAAGGTCTTGTCACAATGAATACACATGTGAAGGATGAAAGCACTAGCTCTAAATGTTCAAAAGTTATGGCCATGGTTAAAGTATGTTTTTGTAAAAGTAAGTCAAACTCCAAGGTCAAGGTCAAGAGGTCAAATTTGGTGGTACCATGGAAAGGTCTTGTCACAAGGAATACACCTTTGAAATATGAAAGCCATAGCCCCACCCACTCAATAGTTATGGGCTAGGTTAAAGTTGACAACAGACAGAGAGACAAACAGACAGACAGGACAAAAACAATATACCCCTGGGATCTTCTGATCTGGGGGCATAAAATAGCATTTGAAATTATATATGCTTTCTCCTATAATAATGTCTTAAACTGCTTCATGATCTGATTCTTTGGACCAGGACATCAATCAGGCAAACTGTTTTATGATAAATAAGAAGTCCTTTTGTGAAATTATGACCTCTGATTTTGTATTCAAACCCCAGGGAGGGGCTAGGTTGGTACATGTATATTATCCATTGTAAAATCATAAAGGAAAATGTTTTAAACCTTAGGAAATTCTGTTTTACTCCTGGGCATCAGGCCAGCAAACTGTTTGCACATTTACATTGAGCATAGAGTTATCTATCAAAATTGTGAAATTCATGACCCATGGGTTCTGGTTCAGGTCCCAACTGTATAATATGGAAACTGTTGGAACTTGGAAATTCTTATTGACAGTTCTACTATACAACATTTAATTTAACTGTTTGCATGATTAGAAGACTGCATGGCATTATGCATCACCAGTATGTATTAGGGATTCAGTTTTCTTTACTATTTACAGAACTTCAAAAAATAAATCCATTGCATAAACCACATTAAACAAAAAATCAATCCATAACTGCAAAACCACATTAAATAAAAGTGGAAATTACACCATTCAAATTAAACGCGTTACAAAGTTATCAAATTATAATTATTTATTATCCTGCAAGGAAAGAAAAATAGCTATTTTAAAATAAATCCACCACGTAGGCACATAATGAAACACACGTATCTAGAAAATTCAAGAGGCAAAAACTTTTTGACGTGGATGGCAAGCGTCCTGTATTAAATTTCTCATGATTATGAAAGTTATATAAATAATTGTTGTCTATCAGTGTTTCTATATATACTTCATTCAAATTTGTGATACTGCAGTTTTGTAATTCTTAACATTAGACTTACATTATGTTGCTTAATAGCAAAAACAAAAGAAAACAGGAACTAGCAGTTAGCCCAGCTACTACGCTTGCAACTGAAGTTGTTTTGTCCCTGCCTGCAGGTATCCTGGGCAGGCAGTAATTTCAAATGCTGTGCACTGGTCAGGCAGTAATTTCAAATGCTGTGCACTTGGTCAGTTATTATATTATTGTACACTGTCAGATATTTAGATATTATAAACACTGGTTAGTTATTTATAGTTAATATATTAGTTATTATACTTTGGTTAGTTATTATACTTTGGTCAGTTATTAAGTTATTATACTTTAGTCAGTTACCTAGTTATTTTACAATGATCAATTACTTAGTTACCTCGTATTATACTTTGGTCAGTTATCAAGTTATTTTACAATGATCAATTATTTAGTTATTATACTTTAGTCAGTTATCTAGTTATTTTATTATGATCAATTATTTAGTTATTATACTTTGGTCAGTTATTTAGTTACACTTCAAAGTGGATGTGACATTTCTGTCATTGTAGGGACCTGAGTAAGAATGCCATCACAGCATTAGAGGAGGGTGGATTTAACAGAGTGTCATCCCTACAAAAACTGTAAGTCCTTAACGTTGTATACAGCAACCACGGATTGTGAACTTGAATAAAGTGGAAACCTCTTTATTGTGAATATAAGTGTTATGCAGAGTATAAAAAATAAAGACCAGAGCTACAGGTATACTGGTTGTAGGTCTTAAAACCCACTTGTTAATTTTTCATCTTTTCAAATCACTGGACCAACTTTTCTAGCTAAAAACTTTTTAATTACAGCAGAAAATCCCAAATGATATGATTTATTATATACCCAACTGTGTATTAGGGCTGAAACGATACACCCCCTCCACGATACGATACGTATTGCAATACTTGTGTCACAATTCAATTTTTTCGATCCGATACAATTTAAAAAAGAAACAAATCATTAGGTTATTTTTCATGTGCATTAAAAAGTTCCTTAACATTATGCTTTGTTTTAGTGGATATAAATATTATAAAACACTTCTTGTGCTTCTGTTGATTAAAATAGCACATTGTCCGTGTCAATTCTAGCAGCAGCAGCCCACTCTAAAACTTTCTGTCTCAATTTTCTTTTAATTGAAAAGAAAACTGTCAAATCATGAATGGTAAATCCATCATTTGATAAGTCCACATTTAAATATGTATAAGTAAAAAAAAATGTACAGTTGAACAATCTGAAAATTGAGGTAGTGAACAAATATTTGAAGAGTTTTATAAAACATAGATATTTCGAAATTTTTCAGACTGTGTATCATCAATTTTACTGAAGCATAATGCATCACCTGTGAAATCGGTCACACCCTCTATGAGCCCGAATGCAGATTATAAAAAAGCCCATTAAAGGATACATTATGTTGTCAAATCTAGTATAACAAGAGGCCCATGGGCCACATCACTCACCTGAGTAACTTGGATTATGCAGTTCTTTACCAGGTTCCCCTTCTTGTTATACCTATTGTAGCCCCCTATCCCCCTCCCCTGTCATGATTTTAATACCTTAGAATCTACACTACCCCAGGATGCTTTCACATAAGTTTCAGCTTTCCTGGCCCAGTGGTTCTTGAAAAGAAGATTTTTAAAGATTTTTCTATATATTTCTATGTAAAACATGGATTCCCTATTGTGGCCCCGCCCTACCCCCCGGGGTCATGATATTGACAATTTAAAATCTACACTACCCAAGGATGCTTCCACATAAGTTTCAGCTTTTCTGGCCCAGGGGTTCTTGAGAAGATTTTTTAAAGATTTTTTTCTTATATTTCTCCCCTGTAAAACTTGGCCCTTCATTTTAACAATAAACTCTCCTTCATCCAAGGATGCTTTGCCCTTTGGTTAAAATTGGCTTACCTCTGGAAGGGTCAAAAATTTAAAGATGAAGGACAGACAAAATGTGATCAGAAAAGCTCACTTGAGCCTTCAACTCAGGTGAGCTAAAAACAAATGCCTTACATTTTAATAGTTTCAAACATTAGTCTGCTAAAGTATGAGCCAATGATAGGTTATATATGATGGAGCATATTTTTGCAGACTTGTTACTTATATGTGCCTGAACATTTGATTTTTAAGGAAAAATCTGTATTTTTACACACAGTTTAAAAAGTTTTCTAGAAGAAATTAAGTATTAAATGATGACAATTGGGCAGTTAGTTCTATGCAAATTAATATATATTTATAATTTTTAAAAAAGTGAGAGAGAACCAGGTTTCTGTCAATCTTGGATTTCATTTAATTCATAAGATAAGATAAATTTTCTATAAATTTTACACAAAATATTTGTCCCAGTTCTGTGATTGCACTGTATGTAGATTACAGGGAAGGCAGCAGAAATACTCATGACATATTAAAGCAGTTTCAAGTTCTGGTGGTGGCTTCTTTTATGTTTCTATTGAGGGACCTGTAGAAGAAATGTCATTTATTTAATTCATGAATAATGAACATGTTTTATTTTCTAGACATTCTTTAACTGAGAATATTTGACTTGTTAATGAGCCGCCCCTACCACCTGGTAGTGCTGCCTTTAATCATTTTTTTAGCAAAAGCAGCTCTCTGTTATGGTTACCATGGAAATTCCTCCCCACTTCTCAGAAGTCATGTTTTAAGTGTTGTACCTTTACCTTGAAGTCTGTTTAAAACCTAGTGTTGTGTGGTTAGGCAGTGCGTGTGTTAAGGCTGCTATAAAGATCCAGGAAGTTATGGAGATATGTGTCAGCTGTGCTTACTGTGCTCAGGAGTTTTATTCTTATACAAATTCTTTTTTTTAAATTTTTCTACTATTGAATCATATGTTGTTGAAAACAGTTAATAGTGCTCCAATATCATTATGAAATGAAGTTTAGTATTGAATAAATCATTTAAAAATATATAAAGATTTAGTACTGATGAATTTTGGTTAAAAATTTTTTTAAACTATATATGAACATGTAGAAATTCATATATTTTTCATTAGACAAAGGATTATACACTCTGTGCCAAAAATGAAGTGGTTTACTGTAAAACTCAACTGTAGGGCTACACAATAATGAGATTCTGGGAAATTGCTGATCATTGACCAATAGTGGCAAAATGCTTGGGCTTGTGTGTCAGAAACAGTATCAGAGCTTTTTATCTTTCTTTTTTGTGGACATTTGGCTGTATAAATGAAGTTTACCTGGGAAAACACATACCCCACAAATTAAAAAGCCTTCTCATTGTACTTTATCATGATAATGATATGATCATGATAAAAATCAGCACTTGATCATGTTGATCATGTATCTTTATTGTATGAGATTAAAAAAAATTATTGTGTTGTTTTTTGAGAGGAGAAAAGTGTGTGCTTATAGGCTTTTAGTAGCATATAGATTTTGTAGATTTTAATTTTACCAATGATTTGAATACTGAAAATTTAGGAATGTGAAAGCGAATATAACATGTTGACCCAAAATCACTAACTTTAAGATAAATTGACATAAAATATGTACTAGCTTTGGGTAAGAAATTATAAACTTTGTTGTAAATGAACTTCACAGCGAAAAATCTTTATATTAAAAAGTACAATAGTATGATGTAGATAATGAAGGAAAAATTCTGATAAAATATTGCAGTTAATGTACTATAAGTTAAAACTAAAGTGACAGTGTGAACTCATTCATACATCTCTGTTTCTTATTCTATGAAAACGAGATTAGATTTTATCTAACTGAATTTCTTTCATTATGTTGTGTAGTGCTGTGCGATATTACCGGTTAACCGGTGTATCCCGATTTTGTTCTTCACAATACGTAATTTTTTTGTGAATACCGGTTAGGGTCGTATGCTATAAATTGTAACAAATTGTTACAAAAAGAGTTATTTGCCCTTTTCAAGGTAAAATATGGCAGCAAGCAACGTCGGAAATCAGAGACATGTCTGTCAGAAACGAAAAGACGACAATTGTTACATGAAAGCCCTTCATGTTAAAGCAGAATCTGAATATTACAACTTGATTCTTAAAGTTGTGCCACAAAAAACTTAGCTTGCCACTTGCGTACACACAATGTGATCAGGCAGTTGCAATATCAACTCGAGAATACATGTAATTTGAGTTTATGTTTTCATTTAACATTGATGAAAAGAAAAATTTATTAAAAATTTTATATTGTGATATATTGCAATACAAAATATAATATTGCAATATATCGCGATACGATTTTTCAGCCGCGATACCCAGCACTAATGTTGTGGGAAAAAAAATTAAAAATCCAAATAAATAAATCCTAGTCATGTAAAGTAATCAAGCTCTGAAGACCAGAGATTGTGTGGTAATACAAAGGAGAGCATTCAATGTTTTCAAATAATGTTTTGCCTGTACCAAACAGGTACCAATTATTGACTCTCTTGAATACCACCCAAATTTGATTTTTCCATTCACTTTTGTAATTGCCATGGCTGAATTAGATGTATTTCATCATGTTTGTAACACTAAAATATCACACCCTTTATCAACCCAAGACCAAAAACTGGATGCAGTTTGAAAAAGTGTTTGTTTTGCAATATTAGCAAATTTTAGCTCGCGTAAGGCTGTAAGCCAAAGATGCAGATTGAATTTGATGCATATCTTGGATACTGTGAAGCCTGTGGTGATCAAAACTTATCATTTGATGCATCATGGGACTGTAAAGTATGTAAACCAAACAAAAGGGACCCCTGAATCCCTGGTATGAAGCCTATATTTGACTTGAATTTTGAATACTTGGTATGATGCTGGTTATATTGTTGTCAGAAATGGTTGATTACCCCTTGTGTGATGGCTATATCTAATACTGAATGTTTGCCCCCTTGTGCAATGGCTATATCTAATACTGAATGTTTGGCCCCCTTGTGTGATGGCTATATCCAATGCTTAATGTTGGGCCCCTTGTGTGATGGCTATATCTAATGCTGAATGTTTGGCCCCCTTGTGTGACCTGAGCCAAAGGCTCAAGTGAGCTTTTCTGATCAAAATTTGTTGGTCACATTTTCTTCTTCTTCTCAAGAACCACTGTGCCAATTTCAACCAAACTTGCCACAAAGTATCCTTAGGTGAAGGGGATTTCAGTTTGTTCAAATGAAGGGCCAAGCCCTTCTCCAAGGGGAGATAATTATGAATTAGTGAAAAATTAATGGCATTTTTCAAAAATCTTCTTCTCAAGAACCACTGGGCCAGGAAAGATGAAACTCATGTGGAAGCATCCTCATGTAGTTTAGATTCAAGTTTGTTCAAATCATGACCCCCGGCAGGGGTTCAAATTTTTTTTGTCATGGTCAAGTCCAGGACTTAAAGAGTAAATTTTAGGCAAGTCCGAGGAAGAAATTTCAGAGTCCATATTTACCTACACTGTATACATCATTAAATTTATGTTACTTATAATTTATTTTCATTTGTTGCATTGAATGAATAAAGACTATATGTATTAATATATGTTTTATTTTTCCTCCATAAACTGTCATATAGTCATACATGAGTGTGTGATTGGTACATTACAATTATTTTGATCCCCTGCTTCCTGTTCCTCACGGGGTCTTTTATTTGTCGTTCCTTT